GAGCTACAAACTATTAAAAGCGATCTATGAAAAGCTGAGACTCTCACGAACATGTTTTCTTCTGTGACAACTGCAGTATTTCAATCGTCTTGATGGAGCAGTGTGGATAAAGGTCAAATTTGGAGTACAGTGGCATATCCCATCCCTGCGTTGAGGTACATTTTCTGACCCATAGTTTGTGCCGGCTCCACGGTGTCTTAATCTAACCATGATTGTGTTCCGACACCAGTGAAGCTCAGTGTAAACAAGCGTAAAGGTAGTGTCAGAATCTTCTGGCAAGACTGCATCCAATCAATCAATCAGGATACAATGAACAGAACCTAACCACAACCAATCAGGACCATGGTCAGCAGCTACATAGAGAGAGAGCCATGGAAGGCACTTGCCAAGAAGAAAACACCCCCATTGATTCTGTCAATCTGTTCTCCCCATGGGCTTTTTTAACATGTCCTACTGCACATCACAGAATGCACCTAGTAGTGTGTCACTACTAATACTGAAGTCATAGTCTGGTAGCGTGTGAAAGACAACATTTAGCTGCAAGGACTTTGCTCTTTGCTTTTCTGTTGGTGCACTTAATCTCCTTTCAACTCCGCTACGGTTCAGTGTGCCATTCCAAAGACTGGATCAGGGCCACAAAGGATCCAGATGTTTCTAAAAAAGGGTCAGAGTGTACTCTACTGAAAAGTAAAGTTTTGTGAACAACTCCTGTAGTACATATTAAAGTATTTAACCTTTTTGTTTGTGGGTATTCACTGAAATGTATCTACTTTGTGTTTGTGCTTGTGTCCTCAGGCTCCAGAGAGGAAGGGGGATGGAGGAGTAGCACTGATGGCCTGAGCCATTCATCATGGGAGACAGCAGTGGAATAGGCTCCCCTGTTATTGGCCATGTGTGAATGTAAAGGGGTGTGATGTTAAAACATTTATTAGCCTATACTGCCAAATCCACAGCTTTATTTATCAGCATCAATGAACAAATCAATTCAAAGTGTGTCAGTTTTCCAGATCAAAAACAAAAATGATGTGCTGGATGTGCTTCCACACACACACGTGTGCTGCATTACAATTATACATAGTTATTATACCACTAAACTTGGCGAATGACAGACAATGAAAAACATTAACAAAGCTTCAGTATCATACAGCATTCTTTAGTCATGGCAGAAAATAAAATAATGTTGTACAATACATAGACATTTTCTTTGGTCGAAGCAAATGGATGGATGTAAACAAAAGTAATACTCTCTCAGGATTGAATCGTAACTTGAGAGTTCCACAAATCTCCAATCAACATAAATTAATGTTTGCATGAGCCAGAGTTGAGCATAAGTAGCTCAAGTTAGGATTCAGCCCAGAGTGAACAGGGTGATTTTTCACAAAAGAAACCTGTTCTTAGACATACTATAGGTATACTGAAGAGTATGAGGTTTCTGCCACTACAAGGGCCGATCACTTTCTTCAACTTCCAGTGAGCTTTGAGTTGCTCCAACCTGTTTTAGGGTCAGATATCTTTTTTAACCAACCTAATGATTACGTATAGGTTTGGGCGTAGGGAAATCTAATTCTAGAGGCAACTTCTACTTTCAAAAGGACCTTATCTGTCAACCACAAAAAGAAAAAAAAAGGTTAATCTATAGCTATATATTAAGATTCTCTTCTGTTAGAAACTGACCTTCTGTCAACACATTCATGGTCCAATTAAGATTTTTCAATAAAAACTCCAGGTCCTATATCCTGTAATCTAGAGGTCACAACATTAAACCATATTTTTGTTACAATGATGGTCCTTGTTTTGATGAATAGTCCATCTCAGAGCATTAGATTTACAGGTTATCTACATAGACGGCTGAAATATAATTATGTCCTTTGTCATGAGATTTCACATTTCCCCAAGCTTTCTTCATGCTATAACCAACTCTGAATGAAACACTCAAATCAGATAGCTACAACACTTCCTGAAATATATGTTTTTGTTATCAAGTTATGGTTAACAAAAATAACCCTTTCAGTTACCAGTATTCCAGTTTCCTGATGTGAAAACCTTGTAATTCAGTCAAAACATTTATATGTAATGTAATTTTTTTAAAAAAAATCTAAAAATAAAACAGCCATAAACAGGCAGTCATCTCTCGTACAGTACCATATACATACATCTGGAAGTACTGAGAACATAAGTGCAATGGCAATGAGCTTCAGCTGAAGAAGTAGCTGCCTTACGACAAGCCTGACTGTGGTCCCACCATAGCTTGCAATTAAGCAGTTTTTCACATACACTACCAGTCAAAAGGTTGGACACACCTACTCATTCAAGGGTTTTTCTTTGTTTTTACTATTTTCTACATTGTAGAATAATAGTGAAGACATCAAAACTATGAAATAACACATATGGAATCATACAGTAACCAAAAAAGTGTTAAACAAATCAAAATATATTTTATATTTGAGATTCTTCAAATAGCCACACTTTGCCTTGATGACAGCTTTGCACACTCTTGGCATTCTCTCAACCAGCTTCATGAGGTAGTCACCTGGAATACATTTAAATTAACAGGTGTGGAATTTATTTCCGTCTTAATGCGTTTGAGCCAATCAGTTTTGTTGTGACAAGGTGGGGGGGGGGGGTATACAGAAGATAGCCCTATTTGGTAAAAGATCAAGTCCATATTATGGCAAGAACAGCTCAAATAAGCAAAGAGAAACGACAGTCCATCATTACTTTAAGACATGAAGGTCAGTCAATACGGAACATTCCAAGAACTTTGATAGTTTCTTCAAGTGCAGTCGCAAAAACCATCAAGCGCTATGATGAAACTGGCTCTCATGAGGACCGCCACAGGAATGGAAGAGGATAAGTTCATTAGAGTTACCAGACTCAGAAAATGCAGCCCAAATAAATGCTTCACAGAGTTCAAGCAACAGAACATCTCAACATCAACTGTTCAGAGTGGACTGTGTGAATCAGGCCTTCATGGTCGAACTGCTGCAAAGAAACCACTACTAAAAGGACACCAATAATAAGAAGAGACCTGCTTGGGCCAAGAAACACAAGCAATGGATATTAGAACGGTGGAAATGTGTCCTTTGGTCTGGAGTCCAAATTTTAGATTTTTGGTTCAAACCGCGGTGTCCTTGTGAGACGCGGTGTGGGTGAACGGATGATCTCCGGAAGTGTAGTTCCCACCGTAAAGCATGGAGGTGGTGTTATGGTGTGGGGGTGCTTTGCTGGTTACACTGTCTGTGATTTATTTAGAATTCAAGGCACACTTAACCAGCATGGCTACCACAGCATTCTGCAGCGATACGCCATCCCATCTGGTTTGGGCTTAGTGGGACTATCATTTGTTTTTCAACAGGACAATGACCCAACACACCTCCAGGCTGTGTAAGGGATATTTTACCAAGAAGGAGAGTGATGGAGTGCTGCATCAGATGACCTGGCCTCCACAATCCCCCAGACCTCAACCCAATTGAGATGGTTTGGGATGAGTCGGACGGCAGAGTGAAGGAAAAGCAACCAACAAGTGCTCAGCATATGTGGGAACTCCTTCAAGACTGTTGGAAAAGCATTCCAGGTGAAGCTGGTTGAGAGAATGCCAATAGTGTGCAAAGCTGTCATCAAGGCAAAGGGTGGCTATTTAAAGAATCTCAAATATAAAATATATTTTGATTTGCTCAACAATTTTTTGGTTACTACATGATTCCATATGTGTTATTTCATAGTTTTGATGTCTTCACTATTATTCTACAGCAGGGTTCTTCAATTCCGGTCCTGGAGGGCCGAAACACCTCTGTTTTTCATCCTCTTCTTCTAATCAGGGGCTAATTCAGACCTGGGACACCAGGTGAGTGCAATTAACTACCAGGTAGAAATAAAAAACAGAAGTGTTTTGGCCCTCCAGGACCGGAATTGAAGAACCCTGTTCTACAGTGTAGAAAATAGTAAAAATAAAGAAAAACCCTTGAATGAGTAGGTGTGTCCAAACCTTTGACTGGTACTGTATTTTACAGTTAGTCTGAATTGGCATGAATATTTGAAGACACATGACACGATGGATCTTTAAACATACATAGATATCCTATTTATCTTAACAATAGTTTTTTGCCTTTCTGTAAAAAGCATAAATATCACTATTCAAAGGAACCCTCTGCTCAAAAACAGGCAACCAGCACGAAAGAGGATGTACTCTACCACTGAGTGAAAGAGAAGGGGGAGGCAAAAACGTAAGCATGCTTCAGTTCAGCTGGCGCCTAGCCGAACTCAGCAAGGCGAACGAGTGTGCTCGCATACTCCTTAAAAGACCTTTGCTTGAAAAACTAGGAAAAAAAAGCAGCAACAGCACTGTTTGTCCATTTTGAGACGCCCTAGCCAGTATACGCTTCCTCAAAAGTCAGAATTAATCTAAGATAACTTAAGAGATCCGTCATTAAATGACGTTTTTGCAATTTTACATCTAACTAAGATGTTTGGTGCAGTAATTCTCAATGGAAAAAATGTGCATTAAATTGAATCGTCTCTCGTTGAATGACAACAAAGACTTTATTGAAGAACCCCTACTGTCTACCATTCACTGACGAAGGGGCAAAAAAGTTGTGTGCCCGAACAGCCGGGAAAAACCCTTACCGAAGTCCAAAACGTCACAAAATGTTGTCATAATATATGCGCAAACCCTTCCTAACTGTTTCGGCTGGGAAGCATGCCTATGCCTTAACAGCACAGGCGCTTTGTTTTAAAAGTCACTTGGTGAAACAAACTGTCCTTTCACGTCGAGACCTCCTCTGTCCGTTCCCAGGAACACACACACACACCAGTAGAAGATCCCATCTGCGCCCTAAGGACTAACCACAAACACACACACTCCAGTATGCGTCTGGAAAGTGACATGCCGCCACGTCCTCCTCACATACTGTGTGGCTCCTGGATATGTGTGATGTTGCGGTGCGTATAGATCCTGGACGTGTGTGTGTGTGTGTCCCGGGAGCGTCCCTCTGTCTCGTCTCTCAGAGAGCCTGCTCGGTGCTGGAGGCAGACATGTCCAGTAGTCTCCAGGCTGCGTTGGGGTTGAGCTCCTCCTGGTCCCGACACAGAGCCCACACGTACATCATCCTCAACACCTTCTCCTGGGGGGAGGAGAGAAGGAAAGGTGGGGGCCACCAGACATATCACCAGCAGTCCAGGACAAACAGCAACGGTTAGAAGAAGGGGGAAAAGGAATGGGATAGAAGAAACAGAGTTAGAAACTGGGTTAGAAACCAGGTTAGGGAAGTAGAACAAAAGATACCACCGGAGGCAGGAGAGAGACAGGTTCAGGAGTAAAGTGACCCAGACAAAATCTGCCAGGATAGAGAGAACCCTTTAGGAGGTAACTCACCGGATCTCCTTCCACCAGGTCTCCCTTGGGACTACGAATCACCATGACCACCTGGGCCTGGAAGGTGATGATCAACACGGGGCCTTGATCCATGATCTTCCCCATCGCCAACTGAGAGAGAGATGAAAGAGTAAATTAATGAATAAATGAGCGAGAGAGAGAAAAAAGTATGTTAAACCTGTAATAATGACAAAATCAGCATGCTTTCAAAACGTTGGTGACTTGTACATGTAGCTCAAGCAGAGTAATGACATTGCCTGGTTGGGCCTGAGAGACACACTCATGTACTTACATCTATGTTGTCTATATCTAGGACCTTGGATTGGAACATTAGACCCAGGGCCCTGGCCTGTTGGATGGGGTGGGCCAGCTGACTGTATGTCTGAGGACGGAGAGAGAGGAGGGTTAAAACACATTCACAAGACATCAACCACACACGCAGGGCCACCTCTAAAGGAAGAATGCTATTTGGAACAAGAACTTTTGAGAGGTTCCTTTCATTTGAAAAGTATGTGACCTGCTAAGAAAAACTCACCGTAAACCCTTTTGTACAGACACTAATTGCTACAGACATCAATAGAAGTGGAAGGGGGAAAGGAAAAGAAAACATGCCGTCTGTATAAAAGTACTCACGGCTTCATAACACCAGTCTTTCAGCACCTCGAGCTCCCCACGGATCATAGCCTTCAGAGGACAGAAGGACAAAGGTGCGTTCACGGACATTAGTATGGAGGGGGAAAAAAGTATGAAATGTAAGTCGCTCTGGATAAGAGCGTCTGTTAAATGACGGAAATGTAAAATGTAGTTACTGCATGCTAAATATCTATATAAAGTTCTCTTAAATAAATGTTTTAAACATCTATTCAACTCTAGTGGCCTATAGATTGCACTAGTGTTATGCATTTCAAAAGTTAAAAGTAGCTAAAAGTACTCATGTATTATTACAATTGAAAATATCAAAACATTGATCTTTAAAAAATGCTTTAAAAGTGTTAAAAGAAAGTGTTTGTGCCCCTTACCTCTAGGATGTTGGGGATGATGTCCTTCTCACACTGTTTGAGAAAGGAGTCCTTGTCGAAGCTGGGGTCTGCCTTTAAGATCTCTGTCAGCACCTGAGACATCTCCGTCGTAGAGAAGAGACCACCTGCCAACCAGATAACAAGGACTTAATGGCAAAATAGTGGAAACCTATGTGGTCCTACCATCTATCAGAACTTATGAAGGAAAAGAGGGTAGTCACCTTGTGGCTATTTACATACCAGACAATATAACAGAGAAACTATTGAATACACCCATTAAACCCCTCAGAGTGATATGATTATTCAACAGACAAAATTTAAAAAGGAGAGGTTGTTTACCTAGTAGATCGGTGACTCTGTCGGTCACGGCTCGTGATGCTCTGGCAAGGGCGTTGTCACTCTCGTTATACTTCATTTTCATCTCAAAGAACCCTGAGGAGAGAGGAGAAGTAACATAAGAAATACTGAGCTGAAAATATCCCAAAGACTCCCAAGACTCTGGGACCATCCACAGAAAATCTAATAAGATACAATGTAATAGAAAGTGTTTCTTGATCAGGAAAAATCCCATCTCGGCTAGACTTGACATTGAGGTATACCTTGCTGATGAATATAGTGCCACCTGCTGACAGGCCAGAGAAGTGCACTCAACCATAAAATGTGACATATGATTACATCACTCGTAACTATATCTGATGAAATACAATAACATTCTCTTACTGTTGAAAACCATGTTGTTGTCTTTAAAGTCCTTCCACTGTGTGTACCACTTAGAATCCTTGTGCAGCACAACACCCATGTCCTCTCTATAAATCCAAATAGACCAGTTATATCAATAGGTTGTATTTCCTAATAGTTTCAAGCATGGCTGAATGGACACCCATAGCATTGTCAGTGAATGGGAAGAAATATCTGTTAACCATGTCATGGCTATGAACAGGGGACATACTCGTTGGCCTCAAACACTCGGTTGTCGCTCTCCCCTCCCTTGGAGGAGAATTCACTCCTCTTCCTGAGTTGAGGAGGAGCCCTATAAGTACCATCGTCCACCACATCAATCTCTCTCTTCACTGACTCCATCCCCTGTACACACAAAGAGGGGAACAAATGAGATCAGTTAAATGATTCCATAGAATCCTTGACCTTTTACACATTCTCAGCCTCGAGTTGATGCTTCAATGTCCTTCAACAGCTGGTATTTACCCAAAACAACTGGTAACACCTGCTACATTCTGGTACTTATTTAAAATCTTTCAACACAATGAATGATCAGTAATAGCCATGTAACCAAGTAAATCAGACCAAAGGACTCAAATAATAAAGCATAACCCATTTCCTTCAATGGAGAGGTGGGTTGCTTGTTTTTAATGTCAATCTCTGACCTGTGAGATGGCCCTGAAGGCGCTGGTCGCTCCCAGCTTCTCTCCTCCCTTGGACACAGACTCAGCAGAGTGCCTGGCAGTCTTGGCTGCCTCCTCCATCCCCTCCTTGATTTTCTTCCCCATGTCTGTACGGGTCACCTCCTCAAGGCCCTGGACAGACAGACAGACATGGACAATAGAATGACTTCAGAGTTCAGGCATTATGATGGATGTGAGAATGACTTCAGAAAGAGTTGTGGTGAGCTACTTTAAACATTGCAAATCTGTAGCTATGGGCTAATTTGACTCTCCATTAATCGTTACAAGATAGTTGCAGGTGGTTCGTTTTGAATTTAGAAAATGCGCCGTTATTCTTTGCTCAATGAAGCAATCCAACAATGTGTATGCCGCCATCTTGTCTATTTCAAATCTTCTCTCATTGATTGAGACAGGTGGGTCAACCCCAAAGTGCCGCATGTCATGAAGACACTCACCTGTCTCGATTAATGAGAGAAGATTTGAAATAGGCAAGATGGTGGGGTAAACATTTTTGGATTACTTCATGGAGCAAAAAATATATTTATTTTAATAACGGAGTATTTTCTAAATTCAAATGAACCACCTGCAACTGGACACTGACATTTAGAAGATACATGTTTGGCCGAATCGAGAACGACGATAGTATCGCCAAGTTAAGGTTGGTTGTAAAATATCTGTGCTACGCCAAACAGTACCTATCATCTAACGGGTAATGGAGAATCACAGCCTGTGTAGCCCGTTACTATAAACAATACATTATAATTGCATTTCTGGGTTAGCACTAAGATAGAAGTTCAACTCATAAGCTGTAAAATCATGCAATTCTATTAGAGAATACAGTGGGGGAAAAAAGTATTTAGTCAGCCACCAATTGTGCAAGTTCTCCCACTTAAAAAGATGATAGAGGCCTGTAATTTTCATCATAGGTACACGTCAACTATGACAGACAAATTGAGAGAAAAAAATTCCAGAAAATCACATTGTAGGATTTTTAATGGATTTATTTGCAAATTATGGTGGAAAATAAGTATTTGGTCACCTACAAACAAGCACGATTTCTGGCTCTCACAGACCTGTAACAACTTCTTTAAGAGGCTCCTCTGTCCTCCACTTGTTACCTGTATCAATGGCACCTGTTTGAACTTGTTATCAGTATAAAAGACACCTGTCCACAACCTCAAACAGTCACACTCCAAACTCCACTATGGCCAAGACCAAAGAGCTGTCAAAGGACACCAGAAACAAAATTGTAGACCTGCACCAGGCTGGGAAGACTGAATCTGCAATAGGTAAGCAGCTTGGTTTGAAGAAATCAACTGTGGGAGCAATTATTAGGAAATGGAAAACATACAAGACCACTGATAATCTCCCTCGATCTGGGGCTCCACGCAAGATCTCACCCCGTGGGGTCAAAATGATCACAAGAACATTGAGCAAAAATCCCAGAACCACATGGGGGGACCTAGTGAATGACCTGCAGAGAGCTGGGACCAAAGTAACAAAGCCTACCATCAGTAACACACTACGCCGCCAGGGACTCAAATCCTGCAGTGCGAGATGTGTCCCCCTGCTTAAGCCAGTACATGTCCAGGCCCGTCTGAAGTTTGCTAGAGTGCATTTGGATGATCCAGAAGAGGATTGGGAGAATGTCATATGGTCAGATGAAACCAAAATATAACTTTTTGGTAATAACTCAACTCGTCGTGTTTGGAGGACAAAGAATGCTGAGTTGCATCCAAAGAACACCATACCTACTGTGAAGCATGGGGGTGGAAACATCATGCTTTGGGGCTGTTTTTCTGCAAAGGGACCAGGACGACTGATCCGTGTAAAGGAAAGAATGAATGGGGCCATGTATCGTGAGATTTTGAGTGAAAACCTCCTTCCATCAGCAAGGGCATTGAAGATCAAACGTGGCTGGGTCTTTCAGCATGACAATGATCCCAAACACACCGCCCGGGTAACGAAGGAGTGGCTTCGTAAGAAGCATTTCAAGGTCCTGGAGTGGCCTAGCCAGTTTCCAGATCTCAACCCCACAGAAAATCTTTGGAGGGAGTTGAAAGTCCGTGTTGCCCAGCGACAGCCCCAAAACATCACTGCTCTAGAGGAGATCTGCATGGAGGAATGGGCCAAAATACCAGCAACAGTGTGTGAAAACCTTGTGAAGACTTACAGAAAACGTTTGACCTGTGTCATTGCCAACAAAGGGTATATAACAAAGTATTGAGAAACTTTTGTTATTGACCAAATACTTATTTTCCACCATAATTTGCAAATACATTCATTAAAAATCCTACAATGTGATTTTCTGGATTTTTTTTCTTGCATTTTGTCTGTCATAGTTGACGTGTACCTATGATGAAAATTACAGGCCTCTCTCATCTTTTTAAGTGGGAGAACTTGCACAATTGGTGGCTGACTAAATACTTTTTTCCCCCCACTGTATACAAATATAGATATAGTACACCATTGATAAGATATAAAGAACTTGAAACATTTGCACTTATGCCTAATAATAACTGCTGATGTCAATGACCTTTGTAAGAGTGTGAAAATGACTCACCTCCTTCACAGTTTCAGACAGAGTCCCAAAGGTCTTCTTGAACACCTCAGAGGTCTTAACGGTTTCAGACTCAATGGTTTTCTGGAGGAAATAAATAAATGAGCTTGATGAGTGTCCTTGATGACAAGTATGTGTTTGTAACACAGGTGAAAAATGTAATCCAGTTGTCACCAACCCCGGTCCTGGACAGCAACAGCGTGTGCAGGCTTTTATTCCAGCCCAGCACTGACATACCCTATTTAACTTATTGTCAAGACCTTCACTAATTGAAGGTTAGTGCTGGGGAAGAAAGTCTGCACAACCAAAGTGCTTACCATGGGCTTAAAGGGACATCACATTCCAAAATAAAATTTGCACTTACAAATTTCCTCCGAGCCTGTTGCAGGGCATCCGACTCCTCTAGCCTCTTGGCCTCCTCTCTGAACTTCTTGATGTTCTCCTTCATCTCCTTGTCCTTCCCAAACTCCTGCCTCAGGTTCTCCACAAACTCCCCGAAGAAGCCTTTACGACTAGGTCGTTCTGACGCATACCGCACCTGGGAGAAAGAGGGCACAATTAAAATATGAGTGAATGACAGACACCATGTTAAGAGTTTGTGTACTACCACCAGAGCGATCATTTTTTGAAGGTCAACGATGATAATGCTTTGGTGATAATGATAATGACCTGCACAGGGACAGCCGGAGACCCACATATCCTGTAGGCATCTCCTCTATTGAATGAGGAGACGACAGCACGGGATGGCAGGAGCAGAAGACGTCTTCCGACCAGCTGAGGAGAAGAACAACATAAGTCAGGGATGGACAACTTTGATGGGGGTGGGGGCCACAAAACATCTGAACTCATCATGAGGGGCCGCAGGTCTGCATACCTACACTGAACTGACCAGGTAAGTACAATATTAACAGGCTATGAATAATGCTTGACATGTTTAGCTATCTCGCTAACTAGAATATGTTCACGAACGAACACCGACTGGCCCATTCACCCATTCATAACTGTCTTCAGAGGATATAACGTTTTCACGAAATAATGTAAAAGGAATGTTGCGCTTAAACGTTAAATATGGATCCCTAAAACAATTCAGTCAACATCCACTCTTCAGCAGTGCAAGCCATGGGAAGAAATGTGCATAATCTCACCTCATAGCACCGACACACGGAGGCTGCCATCTTGATCTTGAATGATGACGCACGTGACGTGACGAAGTGTAACTCCGCTGAGGTTTTTTTACTCGTTACCACAACCATGCTTGCTTCTTTTCTTCTTTAGTGGGGTTTATCGGTGGTTGGCATCCAACGTTACGGTGCATTACCGCCACCTACTCTACTGGAGTGTGGGCCAGAGACAGGGATAAACCTAAATGCCAGCCCCGTTGCACTTAAAAAAAGATAACAAAATATTTGAGACTATATCTAATGACGTTCTACTCAATATACTCTTTAAACTAATTTCCTGTATCCCCTTCTCCCTCATACTAGATCTCATCCTCCCTCTTTCCCTCTGATACTGCCCACACTGTAGCAATACATGCTCCACCGTCTCTGTTTCCTGACAATTATCACACTTTCCTGTTGGATGCTTTCCTATCACATTTAAAGTCTTATTCAACTGGCTGTGTCCCACCCTTAATCCTGTAAAAAAAAAATGCCCCCTCTCTTCTGTCCCTTCCTGCCGTCCTCCCCTCCCCGACTTTCCTCTGTACTTGAAATAAATGGCTTCCCTTATTATCTATATTCCACTGCTCCTGCCATCTCTGCACCATCACTGTATATATCAGTCTTTTTGCCTCTACCCTTGCTCATTGAAACTTCAATATCAACTTCCCCACTTCTAAGTGCTTGTTTAGCCAGTTCATCTACTGCCTCATTCCCCTCCACCCCCACATGGGCTGGGACCCAAGTAAATCTTATCTGTATACCCATCTGTTTAATCCTGCCATGGGTTTGTAGCACCTCATAAAGCAGGTATTGTATTCCAGTCCTTTAGCTACGTGAGCTAAAGGACTGGAAACTCATTAACACTACATATGAATCAGAGCAAATAACAACTCTGTCTTGTTTACTTCCTCCACCCACTGTAAGGCCAACAGAATGGCCATCAGCTCCGCCGTATATACAGCCAGATGATCTGTAATACGTTTCCTGACTTCCACCCCACATTCCTGCACTACAAATGCTGACCCAGTGCGTCCTGTCCTTGGAACTTTTGAACTATCTGTGTAAATGGCCACAAAATGTTGATACAAGGTATCCAGACGTCTCTTAAACAAATCAGATGGATCAACACCCTTCCTATCTTTCTGTAGTCTTTCCAACACTTCTAGATCAACTACTGGAGGCGGGAGTAACCATGGTGGATTTACAGGAATAACTACCGTTGGACTAAACTCCCTTCCATACAGTCCCATCTCCTTCGCCTGGGTATTACCCACCCACCCAAAGCTTGTGTTCTGTCTTCGCTCATGTTCCCAGCATGCCTGTAAAATCCCTTTCGCAGGATGAGACACCCCATGTCCTTGTAGGTTGACCCAATAATTCATTGCCAGCTGCTGTCTCCTAATCTGCAATGGCATATCCCCATTCTCCACCTGTAATGTAGCCACTGGGGACGTCCGAAACGCCCCACTACATACTCTTGAGTCCTTGCCCCTGTATGACATCTAGCCTTTCCAGTGAGGTCAGGGCTGCCGAACCATATGCTATACTGCCATAGTCTATTACAGATCGGATCAATGCAACATACATGGTCTTCAATGAGGAACGCCCAGCCCCCCACTCCTTCCCCGTCAGACAGCGCATCACATTTAGCACCTTCTTACACTTTCCCACCACTCTCTCAATGTGTTCTGCCCAAGTCAGTCTAGTGTCAAAGTATACCCCAAGGAACCTGAAGGCCCTCATCCTCTCCAAGTTTCTCCCAAATAACCTCAAGCATACCTCATCTCCCACCTTCCTCCTGGTAAAGAACACTGTTTGAGTTTTCTCTACAGAGAACCTGAATCCCCACATTAATGCCCACCGCTCTACCTCATCAATTGCTTCCTGTACCTTCCTGACTATGTATGGCACATTTCGTCCCCTCTTCCATAAGGCACCATCATCTGCAAATAACGACCTCCCAATATCCGGCTGTACCTACACCACAGCTCCCCTGTGGTGTACTGTTATCCACCAGGTAGCTGCCTGATAAAGACTTCCCCACCCTCACCTGGATAGACCTTCCAAACAGGAAATCCTTTATCCAGTTGTACGTTCTTCCGCCTACCCACATAATATCAAGTTTGATTAACAACTCCTCCTTCCACATCATATCATATGCCTTCTCCACATCAAAAAAGACAGCTACAACAGTCTCCTTGTTCACCTGAGCCTTCCTGACCTCTGCTTCTCAGCAGAGCACTGGATCCATAGTTCCACAACCTTTCCTGAACCCACTTTGATGTGGTGATACTAGCCCTCTGCTCTCCAGGAAGTAAGTTAGCCTCTCCGTAATCATACGTTCCATAATCTTACATACATGTGATGTTAAAGCTATTGACCGATAGCTTGTTGGCCTCATTGGATCCTTCCCGGTCTTCCGGATTGGTACCACTACTGCCTCCTTCCAACTGCCTGGTAGTTTCCCCTCCTCCCACACTCTGTTGTACAACACCAATACCTTATCCAGTGCCTCATCACTAAGATGGGCCAACATAACATGGCACACCTCATCTTTCCCAGGTGAAGTTAACCCACCCTTACCTATTGCTCTTTTCACCTCTGCCATGGTAAATGGTGCATTCAACGCATCATTTACATCCTCCCTCCTATCCAGCAATCCAGGATGCTCCTCTCTCGTGCTCTCTTTCCCCCTCTGGCCCTCCTCTGACAAATTTGCGGAGCTATGCACTTGGACAAATGCTTTGGCCATCATCTCTTCTCCTCATCTGTTACTGCCACATCCTCCCTACTCGTCAACACTGGATAATCCCACTCCCTTCTGACACCACTCATCCTCTTAATCATCCCCCACACTTCTCCCACAGGTGTCGCCCCTTCCAATGGTGTCACAGAACCGATGCCAACATGACCTCTTTGCCTGACGGATAGTTCTCCTCACCAGGGCCTGGGCCTGGTTATACTGAATCAGATGTTGGAAGTGATGTGTCCTTTTCAGTACTCTAAATGCCCTGTTCCTACTCCTCACCATTGCCCCACATTCCTCCGTCCACCATGGGACTGCTTTCCTCCTCCTCCTCCTCCTCTCTGAACTCTTAGGTATAGCCTCAGTAGCTGCCCCCACTAATGCTGTTCTCACCCAGTTATTCATACTATCCATGTCCCCTCTCATATCCACCTGAGCCATCACCTGCTCACTCAGCTCCTGAAACTGATCCCACTTTGCCCTTCCAAACACCCACCTGCCTACTCCATCCACTAACACCTCCTCCTCCCTCCGGCCAATTGTGCATACTATGTGGTAATGATCACTCCCTACTGTCGACTCCTCCCATACCTCCCACTCACATATTCCTGCCATCGCACTTGATACCAGAGTGAGGTCCAAGGCAGACTCTTACCATGTGGCTACATCAATCCTGGTCCCTCGGCCATCATTCAGGCACACTAGATCTTTATTTTCTATCAAATTTTCCATCACTTGGCCACTTGGCCATTTCCATCCATCCAAAATAGAGATGCTAGTTCTAGGTCCCAAGAAACAAAGAGATCTTCTGTTGGATCTGTGAATTAATCTTGATGGTTGTACAGTCGTCTAAAAAAAAACTGTGAAGGACCTTAGCGTTCCTCTGGACCCTGATTCCTCTTTTGAAGAACATATCAAGAATATTTCAAGGACAGCTTTTTTCCATCTTCGTAACATTTCAAAAATCAGAAACTTTTTGTCCAAAAATTATGCAGAAAAGATAATCCATGCTTTTGTCACTTCTAGATTAGACTACTGCAATGCTCTACTCTCCGGCTACCTGGATAAAGCACTAAATAAACTTCAGTTAGTGCTAAAACGGTTGCTAGAATCTTGACTAGAACCAAAAAAATGTATACTTTTACTCCAGTGCTAGCTTAACTGGCATCCTGTTAAGGCTAGGGCTGATTTCAAGGTTTTACTGCTAACCTACAGTGAGGGAAAAAAGTATTTAATCCCCTGCTGATTTTGTACGTTTGCCCACTGACAAAGAAATGATCAGTCTATAATTTTAATGGTAGGTTTATTTGAACAGTGAGAGACAGAATAACAACAAAAAAATCCAGAAAAACGCATGTCAAAAATGTTATAAATTGATTTGCATTTTAATGAGGGAAATAAGAATTTGACCCCTCTGCAAAACATGACTTAGTACTTGGTGGCAAAACCCTTGTTGGCAATCACAGAGGTCAGACGTTTCTTGTAGTTGGCCACCAGGTTTGCACACATCTCAGGAAGGATTTTGTCCCACTCCTCTTTGCATATCTTCTCCAAGTCATTAAGGTTTCGAGGCTGACGTTTGGCAACTCGAACCTTGAGCTCCCTCCACAGATTTCCTATGGGATTAAGGTCTGGAGACTGGCTACGCCACTCCAGGACCTTAATGTGCTTCTTCTTGAACCACTCCTTTGTTGCCTTGGATGTGTGTTTTGGGTCATTGTCATGCTGGAATACCCATCCACGACACATTTTCAATGCCCTGGCTGAGGGAAGGAGGTTCTCTCCCAAGATTTGACAGTACATGGCCCCGTCCATCGTCCCTTTGATGCGGTGAAGTTGTCCTGTCCCCTTAGCAGAAAAACACCCCCAAAGCATAATGTTTCCACCTCCATGTTTGACGGTGGGGATGGTGTTCTTGGGGTCATAGGCAGCATTCCTCCTTCTCCAAACACGGCGAGTTGAGTTGATGCCACAGTGCTCGATTTTGGTCTCCTCTGACCACAACACTTTCACCCAGTTCTCCTCTGAATCATTCAGATGTTCATTGGCAAACTTCAGACGGGCCTGTATATGTGCTTTCTTGAGCAGGGGGACCTTGCGGGCGCTGCAGGATTTCAGTCCTTCACGGCGTAGTGTGTTACCAATTGTTTTCTTGGTGACTATGGTCCCAGCGGCCTTGAGATCATTGACAAGATCCTCCCATGTAGTTCTGGGCTGATTCCTCACCGTTCTCATGATCATTGCAACTCCACGAGGTGAGATCTTGCATGGAACCCCAGGCCGAGGGAGATTGACAGTTATTTTGTGTTTCTTCCATTTGCGAATAATCGCACCAACTGTTGTCACCTTCTCACCAAGCTGCTTGGCGATGGTCTTGTAGCCCATTCCAGCCTTGTGTAGGTCTACAATCTTGTCCCTGACATCCTTGGAGAGCTCTTTGGTCTTGGCCATGGTGGAGAGTTTGGAATCTGATTGATTGATTGCTTCTGTGGACAGATGTATTTTATTCAGGTAACAAGCTGAGATTAGGAGCACTCCCTTTAAGAGTGTGCTCCTAATCTCAGCTCGTTACCTGTATACCTGGGACACCTGGGAGCCAGAAATCTTTCTGATTGAGAGGGGGTCAAATACTTATTTCCCTCATTAAAATACAAATCAATTTATAACATTTTTGACATGCGTTTTTCTGGATTTTTTTGTTGTTATTCTGTCTCTCACTGTTCAAATAAACCTACCATTAAAATTATAGACTGATTATTTCTTTGTCAGTGGGCAAATGTACAAAATCAGCAGGGGATCAAATACATTTTTTCCTCACTGTACAAAGCATTACATGGACTTGCTCCTACACATACTCTACGGTCACAAGACGCAGGCCTCCTTATTGTCCTTAGAGTTTCTAAAAAAAAAAGCTGGAGGCAGAGCTTTCTCCATGTGAGAGACACAGACTCGGTCTCGACCTTTAAATCTTTACTGAAGACTCATCTCTTCAGTAGGTCCTATGATTGAGTGTAGTCTGGCCCAGGGGTGCGAAGGTGAACGGAAAGTCACTGGAGCAACAAACCGCCCTTGCTGTCTCTGCCTGGACGGTTCCCGTCTCTCCATTGGGATTCTCTGCCTCTGACCCTATTACGGGGGCTGAGTCACTGGCTTACTGGTGCTTTCCATACCGTCCCTAGGAGGGGTGCATCACTTGAGTGGGTTGAGTCACTGACGTGATCTTCCTGTCCGGTTTGTCACCCCCTCGGGCTCGTGCAGTGGAGGAGATTTTCATGAACTATACTCAGCCTTGTCTCAGGGTAGTAGGTTGGTGGTCTGTTGATATCCCTCTGGTGGTGTGGGGGCTGTGCTTTGGCAAAGTGGGTGGGGTTATATCCTGCCTGGTTGGCCCTGTCTGTGGGTATCGTCCCCCCCTGTCTCAGCCTCCAGTATCTATGCTGCAATAGTCTATGTGCCGGGGGGCTAGGGTCAGTCTGTTATATCTGGTGTTATTCTGGGACCACGCAGCCGTCATACCGCTCAGGAAGGAGACACGTTCTGTCTCCTAGAGATGAACGTACTTTGGTGCGAAAAGTGCAAATCAATCCCAGAACAACAGCAAAGGACCTTGTGAAGATGCTGGAGGAAACAGGTACAAAAGTATCTACATCCACAGTAAAACAAGTTCTATATCGACATAACCTGAAAGGCCGCTCAGCAAGGAAGAAGCCACTGCTCCAAAACCGCCATAAAAAAGCCAGATAACGGTTTGCAGCTGCACATGGGGACAAAGATCGTACTTTTTGGAGAAATGTCCTCTGGTCTGATGAAACAAAAATAGAACTGTTTGGCCATAATGACCATCGTTATGGTTGGAGGAAAAAGGAGAGCCTTGCAAGCCGAATAACACCATTCAAACCGTGAAGCACGGGGGTGGCAGTATCATGCTGTGGGGGTGCTTTGCTGCAGGAGGGACTGGTGCTCTTCACAAAATAGATGGCATCATGAGGAAGGAAAATTATGTGGATATATTGAAGCAACATCTCAAGACATCAGTCAGGAAGTTAAAGCTTGGTCGCAAATGGGTCTTCCAAATGGACAATGACCCCAAGCATAATTCCAAAGTTGTGGCAAAATGGCTGAAGGACAACAAAGTCAAGGTATTGGAGTGGCCATCACAAAGCCCTGACCTCAATCCTATAGAAAATGTGTGGGCAGAATTGAAAAAGTGTGTGCGAGCAAGGAGGCCTACAAACCTGACTCAGTTATACCAGCTCTGTCAGGAGGAATGGTCCAAAATTCACCCAACTTATTTTGGGAAGCTTGTGGAAGGCTACCCGAAATGTTTGACCCAAGTTAAACAATTTAAAGGCAATGCTACCAAATACTAATTGAGTGTATGTAAACTTCTGACCCACTGGGAATGTGCTGAAAGAAATAAAAGCTGAAATAAATCTTTCTCTCTACTATTATTCTGACATTTCACATCCTTAAAATAAAGTGGTGATCCTAACTGACCGAAGACAGGGAATTTTTACTAGGATTAAATGTCAGGAATTGTGAAAAACTGAGTTTAAATGTATTTGGCTAAGATGTATGTAAACTTCCGACTTCAACTGTAGGTATTACAGACTGGGTCAGGGAGAGGTTGAAAATGTCAGTGAAGACACTTGCCAGCTGGTCAGCGCATGCTCTGAGTACGCGTCTTGGCAATCCTTCTGGCCCTGCAGCCTTGTGAATGTTAACTTGTTTAAAGGTTTTATATCAACTACATAGAGCATGATCACACAGATGTGAGTGCTACAGGGCGGTAGTCATTGTGTCAGGTAGCGTTAGAGTTCTTGGGAACAGGAATGATGGTGGTCAGCTTGAGACATTGGAATTACAGACTGGGACAAGGAGAGGTTGAAACTGATCGTGAATATGCCTGCCAGCTGTTCTGCGCATGCTCTGAGAACGCGCCCTGGAATGCCGTCCGGCCCCGCAGCCTTACAAGTGTTGACCTGATTAAAAACCTTACTCACGTGAGGTCGGCCTCGGAGAGCGATATCACCCAGTCCCCTGGGTCAGCAGGGGCCCTCATCCATGGCTCGGTGTTGTTTTTGTCGAAGTGTGCAGAAAATGCATTTAGTTCGTCTGGTAGAGGCATCGTTGGGCAGATCACGGCTGGGTCTTCCTTTGTCGATCATAAGAAGTGAAAGCAGATTTATCAACCCTTACCTAACCCTTACCTAACCCTAACCCTTTTACATTTCAACTTCAATGGGGTATGGACGTCCCAAGGATCCCGGATAGCAAGGACCTTTCTGACTGATCAAATGGGCAGAGACTAATTTGAGGAGGTGGGTGTGTCTGCCTCTGCAGTCAAAGGCCTTCCCCAGCATCAGTACAGAGACATTTCAAGACAGAAGTTTGATCCAAGAAATCTCTTTGCTAAAATCTATTTTCATTTGAATGCTTTATGTCACATATGTCACATGGGGGCTATAATAAAATTCAGGATAGCACTTAAAATGTGGACCGTTCCTACCTCTACCTGGATAACAATGCAGGTATTGCATTGCATGTGTTTATGCATGATATTATGTATAATGCTCAGAGCTCACTATATATTCAATGGACATTGTAATGACCATGGAATAGAATGTGGTAATGACATTGTAATAGCAGTCTGCAATACCTCACCTCTCAGCCTGACTTTCTCTCGATTGTGATTGCCACTATAAGCTTGCTTAGGAGAGAGACTATACTTGAATATTATTAATAAGAAGTATATATGTATTTGTTTTCAACTGATGTAAATATTGAGATGATTCATTTTCATGAGACAGCAGTTTGTACATACAGTACATGTATTACTTGGTTAGAAGACCTGCTGAAAATGATCATTTATATACATTGCAGGTGCTCATAGTATACCTACATTTATTTACTAATATTAATAATAATGTATGTATGAGACAATGGTTTGCAGACAGGTTAGGTTTATAAGCAGACCTTCAAATAGGCTACAGTGAAGAAATGCAGTAGCAGGGATCAGCCATATGCACAACGGCCCTCTGCCAATTTAGGACATGAACTATATGTACAGTGAGGGGAAAAAAGTATTTGATCCCCTGCTGATTTTGTACGTTTGCCCACTGACAAAGAAATGATCAGTCTATAATTTTAATGGTAGGTTTATTTGAACAGTGAGAGACAGAATAACAACAAAAAAATCTAGAAAAACGCATGTCAAAAATGTTATAAATTGATTTGCATTTTAATGAGGGAAATAAGTATTTGATCCCTCTGCAAAACATGACTTAGTACTTGGTGGCAAAACCCTTGTTGGCAATCACAGAGGTCAGACGTTTCTTGTAGTTGGCCACTAGGTTTGCACACATCTCAGGAGGGATTTTGTCCCACTCCTCTTTGCAGATCTTCTCCAAGTCATTAAGGTTTCGAGGCTGACGTTTGGCATCTCGAACCTTCAGCTCCCTCCACAGATTTTCTATGGGATTTAGGTCTGGAGACTGGCTAGGCCACTCCAAGACCTTAATGTGCTTCTTCTTGAACCACTCCTTTGTTGCCTTGGCCGTGTGTTTTGGGTCATTGTCATGCTGGAATACCCATCCACGACCCATTTTCAATGCCCTGGCTGAGGGAAGGAGGTTCTCACCCAAGATTTGACTGTACATGGCCCCGTCCATCATCTCTTTGATGCGGTGAAGTTGTCCTGTCCCCTTAGCAGAAAAACACCCCCAAAGCATCATGTTTCCACCTCCATGTTTGACGGTGGGGATGGTGTTCTTGGGGTCATAGGCAGCATTCCTCCTCCTTCAAACACGGCGAGTTGAGTTGATGCCAAAGAGCTCGATTTTGGTCTCATCTGACCACAACACTTTCCCCCAGTTCTCCTCTGAATCATTCAGATGTTCATTGGCAAACTTCAGACGGGCCTGTATATGTGCTTTCTTGAGCAGGGGGACCTTGCGGGCGCTGCAGGATTTCAGTCCTTCACGGCGTAGTGTGTTACCAATTGTTTTCTTGGTGACTATGGTCCCAGCTGCCTTGAGATCATTGACAAGATCCTCCCGTGTAGTTCTGGGCTGATTCCTCACCGTTCTCATGATCATTGCAACTCCACGAGGTGAGATCTTGCATGGAGCCCCAGGCCGAGGGAGATTGACAGTCTTTTGTGTTTCTTCCATTTGCGAATAATCGCACCAACTGTTGTCACCTTCTCACCAAGCTGCTTGGCAATGGTCTTGTAGCCCATTCCAGCCTTGTGTAGGTCTACAATCTTGTCCCTGACATCCTTGGAGAGCTCTTTGGTCTTGGCCATGGTGGAGAGTTTGGAATCTGATTGATTGATTGCTTCTGTGGACAGATGTATTTTATTCAGGTAACAAGCTGAGATTATTAGCACTCCCTTTAAGAGTGTGCTCCTAATCTCAGCTCGTTACCTGTATAAAAAACACCTGGGAGACAGAAATCTTTCTGATTGAGAGGGGGTAAAATACTTATTTCCCTCATTAAAATGCAAATCAATATATAACATTTTTGACATGCGGGTTTCTGGATTTTTTTGTTGTTATTCTGTCTCTCACTGTTCAAATAAACCTACCATTAAAATTATAGACTGATCATTTCTTTGTCAGTGGGCAAACGTACAAAATCAGCAGGGGATCAAATACTTTTTTCCCTCACTGGTTTGTTTCCTATTAGTGTGACAGCCAGCAGCGGCACCATGTGGAAGGTATGGAAACAGGGACTCCTCCCCTTCTGCAGAGTTAGGAGACTCTCTTCCTGCGGTCAGCCTTGTTTGACAGCCAGCATTGGCGCATTGTCTTACACATTTATGTCATTTTCTCCTGTACATACAGGTAATTCAGAGACAAACTATTTTACTCATTCTTTTCCGGAAGAAGCGTTGGAGAGGCCTCGTCTAGAATGGGGAACAGAGACGATGAATACGATTTGTTGTTCAAAGGTACATTTTGATGACTGCAGCCCCCCGTTGATAGCACCGTCAATAATTATGTAATTGTTTAATTCTAAAGACAAATCAGACATCAGCCTTTTGAACGAATCATAACAACAAATACAACAAATAGTTTGGCGGAATGGTTTTGAAAGAAACATTGTCTCTGGTGGAAAACGTTTTCTACTATGGCTACAGAAATGCTGTCATTGTAACATTGTAACAACGCCCGCAGTTATATCTATAAGTAAGATGCAACAACGTATCTGCTTTGCCTCTGACTTGATCAACTCTGATAAACCCATAAAATAGTAACTATTTGTAAATCGGTTATTGACAAGAATTCTGTTTTCCCTTTTATGGTTGAAAGAGCTATATGAAGTTATATTCTTTTTTTGTAGTTCATTGTAGCTTATAGCCCCATATGCAAATGTTGCATTGATGTAGGCCTAGACCTACTGTAACTGTGGATGTTTATTATATTCAGCTGACAGTGAAATGTTTTGACATATACTATATATACAAAAGTATGTGGACACCCCTTCAAATTAGTGGATTAGGCTATTTCAGCCACACCCGTTGCTGACAGGTGTATAAAATCGAGCACACCGCCATGCAATCTCCATAGACAAACACTGGCAATAGAATGGCCTTACTGAAGAGCTCAGTGACTTTCAGCGTGGCACTGTCATAGGATGCCACCTTTCTAACAACTCAGTTTGTGAAATTTCTTCCCTACTTGAGCTGCCCCGGTCACTGTAAGTGCTGTTATTGTGAAGTGGAAACGTCTAGGAGCAACAACGGCTCAGCCGCGAAGTGGTAGGCCATACAAGCTCACAGAATGGGACCGCTGAGTGCTGAAGCGCGTAGGTCGTTAAAATCGTCTGTCGTCGAAACTGCCTCTGGAAGCAACGTCTGCACAATAACTGTTCGTCGGGGGCTTCATGAAATGTGTTTCCATGGCCCAGCAGCCCCACACAAGCCTAAGATCCCCACAAGCAATGCCAAGCGTCGGCTGAAGTGGTGTAAAGCTCGCTGCCATTGGACTCTGGAGCGGTGGAAACGCGTTCTCTGAAGTGATGAATCACGCTTCACCATTAAAAAAATAAAAATATTTAACCTTTATTTAACCAGGTAAGCCAGTTGAGAACAAGTTCTCATTTACAACTGTGACCTGGCCAAGATAAAGCAAAGCAGTGCGATAAAAACAACAACACAGAGTTACATATGGGGTAAAACAAAACATAAAGTCAAAAAATACAACAGAAGATATATATACAGTGTGTGCAAATGTAGCAAGTTATGGAGGTAAGGCAATAAATAGGCTATAGTGCAAAATAATTACAATTAGTATTAACACTGGAATGATAGATGTGCAAGAGATGATGTGCAAATAGAGATACTGGGGTGCAAATGAGCAAAATAAATAACAATATAGGGATGAGGTAGTTGGGTGGGCTAATTTCTGGCAGTCTGACGTCCACCTAGGAAATACCTAATCTGACATTAGGCTAAATACATTTCAGCCAGTGTGTTTTCTCTCTGTCTCTTTATCAACAGTTGTGTTAATTGGGGACTCGGGCGTCGGGAAGAGTAACTTGCTCTCTCGGTTCACACGGAATGAGTTCAACCTGGAGAGTAAGAGCACCATCGGGGTGGAGTTTGCCACCCGCAGCATCCAGGTGGATGGCAAGACCATAAAGGCCCAGATATGGGACACGGCTGGACAAGAACGTTACAGAGCCATCACCTCCGCGTAAGTCGTGTGGGATCCCTCAACACTGCCTGTTGAGGCCTCTTGAAAATGAAATGATTGTCAGCAAGGATCACATAAGAGTACTGTAGTGGTCTCAAATAGTAGTCCCAGAGAGGTAAAAGGTGATTAAATTAATTCCACTAATTGATCAACTGCTCAAGTCCTTGATTAATTGAATCAGGTGTTTTAGTGCTGGGTTGAAGTGTGGAACATAAACCTGCATACCCTATAGCTCTCCAGGATCAGGTTTGTTGAGCACTAGCCGATTACTAGCCTCATCTTCAAATCAGAGTGCCTGACTTGGAGTCTCACTTGGGACCCATACATTGTTGTCTATTGGTGCATTGAGATTGATACGCAGTCTCTTTCCTACAGCTATTACAGAGGGGCAGTGGGTGCTCTGCTAGTGTATGACATTGCCAAGCACCTGACCTATGAAAACGTGGAGCGCTGGTTGAAGGAACTGAGGGATCATGCCGACAACAACATCGTCATCATGCTGGCGGGCAACAAGAGCGACCTGCGCCATCTCAGGGCCGTGCCCACGGACGAGGCCCGGGCTTTTGCAGGTACTCAGATCTTTCGGCAGAGGTAACATAGCCTGGTCCCAGATAATATAATAATAATAATATGCCATTTAGCAGACGCTTTTATCCAAAGCGACTTACAGTCATGCGTGCATACATTTTTGTGTATGGGTGGTCCCGGGGATCGAACCCACTACCTTGGCGTTTCAAGCGCCGTGCTCTACCAGCTGAGCTACAGAGGACCACGATCTAGTTGTGCTGTCTTGCCAATTCCTATGGTCATTGTCATGGCATCTAGGACCAGGCTCAGGGGTACATGGGCTCTTTGGGACAATCTTGGAACAGCTTCCTCTCTTTATTTTGTGGTCCTAAGGGACCACTGAAATGATGGATAGGGTGAAATTGAAATGAGAGCAACACCATATAGTTGTTTTCACCTATCTGGAAGTTTTATAATCAGTGGTCATCATAAGGGAAGGGAAGTGAGTATAGTATTGGGACATAGCAGCCTAAATGTGCAATGCAAAGGGCATTGAGTGAGCCTAAATGTGTAATACATAAGGATTATGTCCTGGAACTGTTTGTTAATGATTGTGTGACTCACTTTGCCCTTTCTTTAACCCTGCAGAGAAGAACAATATATCGTTTATTGAAACTTCAGCCTTGGATTCAACAAATGTAGAGGAAGCTTTCAAGAACATCCTTACAGGTACAGTATAACAGCAAAAGGACTATCTATAAAGCTAATTGCTTTGACATTTCCCAACTTTTTTAGGCAAGTGCAGATTAAGTAGACTAGAGAATAGGAAATAAATCCTCTTTGAAGTATTTAGATGCACCACAACAGTCTAGTCTACTCTCCACAGAAATCTATCGCATCGTATCGCAGAAGCAGATCGCTGAGCGGTCTGCCCATGACGAGTCCCCTGGAAACAATGTTGTGGACATAAGTGTTCCACCCACCACAGACCAGAAAGGGAACAAACTGCAGTGCTGCCAGAACCTGTAACCCATGACAACCCTCACCGTCCCTCGCTTTATGTCACCTCAAAGTGTTGTGTGCGCCGACTTTCTTCATTTTGTGTAATATATTTATTTGGTTTTTGATAACTTGTTCACTCACATTAATGCCATGAAATTAAATTTTACAATATGAGTAGTTGAGTGGATCTCCTTCATGGTACCTGTATACTTTGGACTCCTACCTTCTGGCCTTGCAAGGAGTGTAGTCTCATAAATATCCACTAGATGGTGGTATGGAGTGGTGCAGTCTACTACATTGATCAAAATAGATCGTTACAGATCCAATACTCCTGTATAAGTAGCACAAAGAGTTTCAGCACACATTACAGTTTACACATTAAAGCCAGTGTATGGTGACAGATGTGTCCTCTGCAAAAACCAAGAGTCCCTTATATTTTATTTCACAACGACACAGCTTACTCAAGGGAGTGCAAAAGGAAGACTAAAATTACATCAAATACTTTTGCATACCCTGCATACACTGACTGACACTCCAAAGCCAACTCTCTCCCTCTCCAAAAGGGCAAAGATTTAAAAAACAGAGATCACCATATTTAGACTTTGTCGTTCACATGGTCGTTGCTCTAAGTGAGTAAATTCACGAGTCTATTGGATGCCAGTTGTCCCAAAAAAGCTAAATACATTGTGAAGGAGAGGAGGGTAGTATGTTTCAGATATACTGTATTAACATGCTGCATCAGTTGTATCCCGCTATGAGCCGTGTCCTTCTGTTTGTGACCTTATGTTCCAGTCCAGTGTTCATAATCCGGCGATGACTTCAGTGACACGTCCTTCTACGAGTTCAAAATGTCCCAAAATCAATGGTTATATATAGTTCATATCTGGGCTCAAGTGCTTCAAAAGTGAATATGGAAAAATAATCCCCAGAATGGTCCAGAAGTGCAGAAGTTCAAGTTATATTACACTTTATTTGCGAGACCACGTCGCTCAGTGCTCATATGATGGTCTCGTCAGCCATTTTTTTGGTTGACTTTGTTGGCACGGAATGTTGGGTGGAGTGCGCTCCTTTTATGTCGGGCATTAGCAGGCGCACTTTCTGATTGGTCCTCCTCCACTCAGAGTATAACTGACAGTGATAGCGGAACGATACCTGAGGGGCACAGAGACAGACGTCAATGAAACTAGACATTTTATATGCACTGCACAGAGCAGATTCGTTGAATATATGGTTGCTATTGCAGGCACTCAACCAGGGATCAATTCCATTTCAATTCAGAGTACACCCAATTCCAATTCTTCCTAATTGAAAAGCATAGAAGATAATTGGAATTTCAGTGTACTTCCTGAATTGACTGGAATTAAAATGGAATTGACCCCAAACCTGCTCACAACACGACGTGAGACATATTGCATGACACATTTGTATTTGGTCTAGAAAATGGTTCCGCTTCAGTTGCTGATTTTGTAACTATTGTAAGTATTTTTTTCAGAGTACAGTAGCCTTTCTAGAGTACAGACAAAAGATTATTGTTGCAGGCACAACATATTTCTGTTGGCACATTACTTGTCTCCCCTGAATATAAAACAGGAAGGGCACAGAATTCCACAGACAAGAAGCAAAAAAAACAATGCTACACAAATGTCGAATTCGTCTCACAAAATGTACTAATAGCTATTGTAAAGCACACATTTAAAACTGCAAAAAAAAATGCTGTCAATTAACAAAGGTGGAGTAAAGTAATCCATGAGGTGTGTGTGTGTTCTGTGTGACCATGGTGCTTACCTACGTAACAGCAAGAGGAACTGCCCCTCCTTACCTTCAGACTATGCACAAACCCTTCACCACAACCCAAGCACGCCGTTCTGCCACCTCAGGTCTCATGGCCCTCCCACCCCTAGCTTCCGCTCAGCCCAGTCCAAGCTCATCTCTGTCCTGGCACCCCAATGGTGGAACCAGCTTCCCCCTGAAGCTAGGACAGCAGAGTCCCTGCCCATCTTCCGAAAACATCTGAAACCCTACCTCTTCAAACAGTATCTAAAATAATCCTCCTCACCTCGACCCCACCCAAAAAATATATATATATAACAATAACACTTAACCAGCACTTGCACTCCCCCCTTCTACCTCTGACTCTACTGATAGCTACGTTATTGAGGAAAAATGTACTTTCTATGCCTGTAATATGTGGTTGTCCCACCTAGCTATCTTAAGATGAATGAACTAACTAAGTCGCTCTGGATAAGAACGTCTGCTAAATGACTAAAATGTTCAATGTAAATGTAATGTGTATCTGGTCTGTGTGTGGGGCCTAGTTACCAGTGTCCAGAGGATGTAGATCGTGAAGAGGGCGATGGTAAGGGCAATGAGTCCCACAGCCTCCAGCCGGCTGTTGAGGGTCAGGTGGTCCTGTGCTCCCCTCAGACACAGCCAGCCTGAGATGGCCGCCAGTGGCGTGATGAGCAGGAAGCAGGCCATGTCGCACAGCAGCGTGCGCTTCTCACTGCGAGGCCCCGGGTCCCGCAACCACTGGGAGGATGCAAGGAAAGGATAATTATTATTATTATGGTCTTTACTCACTCACAGACACACACAGTGTCAATGGTGTACCTGTGTGAGGGGCTGGGGTCGCCGTTCGACAGTGAACTCTGTGTGGCAGAGCTCACAGTAACTGGTGTTGGAGGAGGACAGCCACTTCTCCAGGCAGCTCTTGTGCACCTTACCCAGGGTCCCTGTGCAGTCGCAAGGGGAGAGCAGCGTCTCACCACCGGCCCCCTCGTGGCAGATCCGACACATGCCTTCATTACTGGACAAATAGGGGAGAAAATTGTGCCTAGTGACCACTCGTTTCAAAACACATTACACGTGATATACTTAAGCAATAAGGCCCGAGGAGGTGTGGTATATGGCCAATATACCACGGCTAAGGGCTGTTCTTACGCACAACGCAACACGGAGTGCCTGGACACAGCCCTTAGCCGTGGTATATTGGCCATATATCACCATCCCCCGAGGTGCCTTATTGCTATTATAAACTGGTTACCAATGTAAAACTGAAGACATTTAATCAATCAAACCTCTGTGATTGCCAACAAAGGTTTTGCCACCAAGTACTAAGTCATGTTTTGCAGAGGGGTCAAATACTTATTTCCCTCATTAAAAATGCAAATCAATTTATAACATTTTTGACATGCATTTTTCTGGATTTTGTTGTTGTTATTCTGTCTCTCACTGTTCAAATAAACCTACCATTAAAATTATAGACTGATAATTTCTTTGTCAGTGGGCAAACGTACAAAATCAGCAGGGGATCAAATACTTTTTTCCCTCACTGTATGTGGGAACTCCTTCAAGACTGTTGGAAAAGCATTCCAGGTGAAGCTGGTTGAAAGAATGCCAAGAGTGTGCAAAGCTGTCATCAAGGCAAAGGGTGGCTACTTTGAAGAATCTAAAATATATTTAGATTTGTTTAACACTTTTTTGGTTACTACATGATTCCATGTGTTATTTCATAGTTTTGATGTCTTCACTATTATTCTACAACATAGAAAATAGCAAAAATAAAGAAAAACCCTTGAATGAGTAGGTGTGTCCAAACTTTTGACTGGTACTGTGTATACCCGATCTTGTAGGTTCATGCTCTACAACATTCGGAGAGTACGACCCTGCCTTACACAGGAAGCGGCACAGGTCCTAATCCAGGCACTTGTCATCTCCCGTCTGGATTACTGCAACTCGCTGTTGGCTGGGCTCCCTGCCTGTGCCATTAAACCCCTACAACTTATCCAGAATGCCGCAGCCCGTCTGGTGTTCAACCTTCCCAAGTTCTCTCACGTCACCCCGCTCCTCCGCACACTCCACTGGCTTCCAGTTGAAGCTCGCATCTGCTACAAGACCATGGTGCTTGCCTACGGAGCTGTGAGGGGAACGGCACCTCCGTACCTTCAGGCTCTGATCAGTCCCTACACCCAAATGAGGGCATTGCGTTCATCCACCTCTGGCCTGCTGGCCCCCCTACCTCTGCGGAAGCACAGTTCCCGCTCAGCCCAGTCAAAACTGTTCGCTGCTCTGGCACCCCAATGGTGGAACAAGCTCACTCACGACGCCAGGACAGCGGAGTCACTCACCCCCTTCCGGAGACACTTGAAACCCCACCTCTTTAAGGAATACCTGGGATAGGATAAAGTAATCCTTCTACCCCCCCTTAACCCCACCCCCCAAAAAAACACAAAAAAACATATTGTAAAGTGGTTATCCCACTGGCCATAAGGTGAATGCACCAATTTGTAAGTCGCTCTGGATAAGAGCGTCTGCTAAATGATGTAAATGTAAATGTATATATATGTCCATTGTTAATCTCCAAGGAAGAAATTGTGTACATATCAGATCACCCTCTGCAGGGTCAGAAAAAAACAGATGAATCCGGTATTCAGAGGAAATGGAATGAGAGCCTATGACGCGACTTCCGCTTTTGGTGACATTCCATCTTAACTCTTCCTCCTCCACATTTACTGGATTGGTTCAACAGTGCAGAAGAGAACCTCCAACTGTTTTTTTCTTTTCTTGTCAGGACCAGAAAGAAAGAAACACTACTATTTTATGTCTGCTATGTTAGGTTAATGTCAGATAGAAGCAAAGGGACACATTCTCAGGCAGAAAGGTTAAAGGGGATACCTAGTCAGTTGTACAACTGAATGCATCCAACTGAAATGTGTCTGAGTAGAACCCTCTCGAGGAACCCCCTTACCTCTGTGAGCCCACAGCTTTGAGAACAGTGGAGAGTGGGCGACCATCTTTGGCCGTAACCTTGGCGACGTACTGGGCCTTGCCAGCATCTGGCTCCTCTACCTCCTTGGGCAAGTTGGCACTGCCCGAGTAGTCACACAGGGAGCCAGGCAGGTGGCAGCAGCCTGATGTAGTCATGGCTCTGTTGGTGGTGGTGAAACGCCAGAGGAGCCAGCAGTCAAGGAGTCAGTTTGGACTGCATGACAATGTTAGAACGCAGCATTGGTACAACAAATCTTTGCAGACAATGTCAACACCGGAATTGACTTATGTAACAACGAGAATTTGAATCTATTAACGGGGACATTCTTTAATCATAGTTACTTTTGACAAGTATGTGGTGGTGGGGGGGGGGGGGTCGATGGCATGTTTACCACAGTAAACCAGATGGCATGTTTACGATGCCATGCATCTCACGTCACAGCCATACTATTTACGAATGAGCTTGTTACGATGTTACCACAGTAAACCAGATGCCATGTTTACGATGCCATGCATCTCACGTCACAGCCATACAATTTACGAATGAGCTTGTTACGATGTTACATTGTATCAACAAACAAAAATATAACTGACTGTCAGTTATAGACAAAGCTTGGTTCCAGTGAATCAATAAATAACAAACAAACACCGCCAGGCAGTGGAAATGCTAACGTTCGCTAGTTAGACAATGTTTTCACATCCTCTAAACACTAGAAAGCTAGCTAACGTTAGCAAGCTAATTGTTCAATGATCTTCATTTCCACTAAAGTTAGCAACCTAGCTAGCAAGATAAATACAATGCAGTGAAAATCTATGAAGGTGAGCACTTAGCATAGCTAAATACATATTTTTTAAACAGCCTAAATAACAAGGGATAACGTACCGTAGTCACCAGCAAGCTCTCCCTGGCCTTAGTTTAGCTAGCTAACGTTAGCTATTTAGCTAGCTAGCTGTATGAGATGACATTGATATTTAGCCAAAACGATGGTTCGGAAAGAATACAATAGATGATGGAAAGCCGTGTATCTGCTCCATTGTTGGCCAGATCATTTACTTGTTTGTAACAGTCTCCCAGTCTTCTCGCAGAAATTGTGTATCTTGCATGGATTTGTGACAGCTAGCTTGTTAACATTATTACACTGCCTGGCTGGTTGGCTAACATCTCTCAGCTGTGCACCACTGTATCATTATGGTCCATGCTATCCGTGATCATTGGGACGTCCCTGTCAAAGATTTGTATTACTAGCTAACCCAAGATAGACCTGCGCCTGGCGTTTCCAATGGGCGCAAATGAATCATAGTGGGCATAACAAGAAAGGAGGTAGGCAGAGCCAAGCACGAGCTAGTGAGATCCTATTGGCGCGTTCTAGCATTTATTTGCATATTTCCGTTAAGAAACGCCTACTCTGTGAAGTGCGCGTCTGCAATAACTCAATTCGCACGTGCACTCCTTTTAAACAACGCAATTTTTTACAAGTTTGGCAAAGGATAAAGACTACAAAACGCAATCCACTCTGTTTGTTACAGATTGTAGTTTTGGAAACAGAAAACTGTATGATCAAATGTTTAATCGATGGGAAAATTAGCAAAGAGTTGGCCAATATTCTCCCACTTCCGGCCACTGGGCTTCTTCTCATCACCATATTTGATAATGAATGGAAACGCCAACCGGATGCTTCACATTTATACATCTGGTGAAATATCTGCCTCATTGTTCTAGCTGTGTTTCTTCTTCTATGTCTTCATTTTTTTTCTTCTTCTTTGGTTTTTAAATGGCGGTTGGCAATCACAAGGTACGTTACCGCCATCAACTGGACTGGATTGTAAATCCATTACACCTTGTAAAAAAAAAAGTTTAGGCTAACATTAAAACCCACTACCCCATTCCATTACTTTTACCCTATCTACTCCTACACCGTGCCAACGGCCTGGGAGGACGGGACACCACCCCGCAACACACCCTGTAATTCTTCTGAAGTCAAATCTAATACACCCAAGTACTTCTTTGCAGCTGCCACCACAACATATATTTTCTGTGATTGATGTTCCATTTCTGCAGTACAGTTGATAACCATTGCTATGAATGCTATCATTTTTACATTTTCGTCGGGTGAGGTTGTGTTTCTCTCTGGCGGGAGGTAAGCTTGGCTTATATGGCTTATATACATAGTTTGGGCTTTGTCGAGTAAAGCTTAAACTATGTATTTAGATTGTAGTTAGGTATTGTAGGTAGTTATCATGGGTTGTTGTATGTTATTATTGTAGGCTAGTATTGTATTCGGCTGAGCCCGGTGAAGCACGAAGCTAGCTAACCCACTACATGGACTAGCTGGCGGGTGGCTACTGGTAACTATTAGCAACTGTGGATAGTTGTTTCACGCCTGAGAGTGCCTGTAATTACGCCAGCTAGCTGCCTACAATAATTACATACAATAATGCCTACCATTCAGCTGTTTTTCTAACCTCAATGTCTGAAGCGTTAACGTTAGGTAGTAAGTGGCTACTGTGCTTGAAATTTAGCTAGCTTGTTGCTACCTGGATAGCTACTAAACAATGGCTGGAACGACCTAGCGAACAGACGCGAACTGGCTGAGTCAATTCAGTGGCTAGCTTTGCTCTTGGCTAGCTAACAGTAGCTGCTAGGGGTAAGTTATAACCTACATTTGTGTTTTGTTTTTACATACTGGTAGCCAGAGTCGTTCAAGGGAATTCGGGACATGGGTGACTAGTTAACGTTAGCTTGGCTCTCTCTGTGTGTTCGTGCCGTGGGAGGAGGGGTTGCTTCGTTGTCTGAAAGCAATGGCTAGCTAGTATGCTAACTATTCTGGCTAACTAACTGGCTGAATAAGTTGACGACGGACTCGCTCAAGCTGTCGGGACTAACCCACAACGTTAGACACGGACACGAATGATCTGCTTGGCGTGTTGACACACTGGTGGTTTGTTGTGGCCGAGTATTGGTGCTAAACCGTGTTGTTGGAGTCCGGCATGCTAGTTGGCTGTGGTGTCATATGACTAGAATACTGTACCAAGTTAGCTAGCTGAATAAACTAAGTTAGTCTACTCCTAGAAAACATTGAACCGCTGTAGTTTACAACAAGTATAGTTTCTGAGGTGGAAGTTGGGAGAGTTTTATATTTGGGTGTTTCAGTGAAACGTAAGTGAGGGAGGCCCCGCTCTCTCCTTTCCCAGATGTTTAGTTCATTTCATTCCGATCTCCTTTGCATTATTGTAGCCATTTTCTGTAGCCTGTCAACTATGCCTCTGTCTATCCCTGTTCTCTCCTCTCCGCACAGGCTATACAAATGCCTCACACCGCGTGGCTGCTGCCTCTCTAACCTGGTGTTCCCTGCACGCACCACCCACGTGGAGTTCCAGGTCTCAGGCAGCCTCTGGAACTGCCGTTCTGCTGCCAACAAGGCAGAGTTCATCTCAGCCTATGCTACCCTCCAGTCCCTCGACCTCTTGGCGCTGACAAAACATGGATTACCACTGAAAACACTGCTACTCCTACTGCTCTCTCCTCGTCTGACCATGTGTTCTCGCATACCCCGAGAGCATCTGGTCAGCGGGGTGGTGGCACAGGAATCTCTCCCAAGTGGACATTCTCTCTTTTTCCCCTGACCCATCTGTCTATCTCCTCATTTGAATTCCATGCTGTCACAGTCACTAGCCCATTCAAGCTTAACATCCTTGTCATTTATCGCCCTCCAGGTTCCCTTGGAGAGTTCATCAATGAGCTTGACGCCTTGATAAGTTCCTTTCCTGAGGATGGCTCACCCCTCACAGTTCTGGGTGACTTCAACCTCCCTACGTCTACCTTTGACTAATTTCTCTCTGCCTCCTTCTTTCCACTCCTCTCCTCTTTTGACCTCACCCTCTCACCGTCCCCCCCTACTCACAAGGCAGGCAATACGCTTGACCTCATCTTTACTAGATGCTGTTCTTCTACTAATCTCACTGCAACTCCCCTCCTTGTCTCCGACCACTACTTTGTATCCTTTTCTCTCTCGCTCTCCTCCAACACTACTCACTCTGCCCCTACTCAGATGGTAATGCGCCGTCGCAACCTTCGCTCTCTCTCTCCCGCTACTCTCTCCTCTTCCATTCTATCATCTCTTCCCTCTGCTCAATCCTTCTCCCTCCCATCTCCTGATTCTGCCTCCTCAACCCTCCTCTCCTCCCTTTCTGCATCCTTTGACTCTCTATGTCCCCTATCCTCCCGGCATCTCCGGCTCGGCTCACTCTTGGATTGCGTCCTACCTGACCGGTCGCTCCTACCAAGTGGCGTAGCGAGAATCTGTCTCCGCATCACGTGCTGTCACCACTGGTGTCCCCCAGGGCTCAGTTCTAGGCCCTCTCCTATTCTCGCTATACACCAAGTCACTTGGCTCTGTCATATCCTCACATGGCCTCTCCTATCATTGCTACGCAGATGACACACAACTAATCTTCTCCTTTCCCCCTTCTGATTACCAGGTGGCGAGTCGCATCTCTGCATGTCTGGCAGACATATCAGTGTGGATGACGGATCACCACCTCAAGCTGAACCTCGGCAAGACGGAGCTGCTCTTCCTCCCGGGGAAGGACTGCCCGTTCCATGATCTCGCCATCACAGTTGACAACTCCGTTGTGTCCTCCTCCCAGAGTGCGAAGAGCCTTGGCGTGACCCTGGACAACACCCTGTCGTTCTCCGCTAACATCAAGGCGGTGACCCGATCCTGTAGGTTCATGCTCTACAACATTCGGAGAGTATGACCCTGCCTTACATAGGAAGTGGCACAGGTCCTAATCCAGGCACTTGTCATCTCCCGTCTGGATTACTGCAACTCGCTGTTGGCTGGGCTCCCTGCCTGTGCCATTAAACCCCTACAACTCATCCAGAATGCCGCAGCCCGTCTGGTGTTCAACCTTCCCAAGTTCTCTCACGTCACCCCGCTCCTCCGCACACTCCACTGGCTTCCAGTTGAAGCTCGCATCTGCTACAAGACCATGGTGCTTGCCTACGGAGCTGTGAGGGGAACGGCACCTCCGTACCTTCAGGCTCCGATCAGTCCCTACACCCAAACGAGGGCATTGCGTTCATCCACCTCTGGCCTGCTGGCCCACCCTGGCCACCTCAACCTGCCTCTCTCGCACCGGACATTTCCGATCCC